CTCTCTCTCTCTCTCTCTCTCTCTCTCTCTCTCTCTCTCTCTTTCACAATACAATTTAGCTATAATTTGCTGATAGATGTTAGATATATTGGACGCACGATCATACGACTACTTTGCCTTCCGGAACACTAGTCTCGTGCGGATAAAGCCCTTCGTCGAAGGGTCAGCGGAAGGATCCACCGTTGCTGTCCTCTTGTACTTCACGTTATCGCCTCTATCACACTATCCGCTCGCACTTCTGCACGCATACTGTCTACCAGACACGCTCTCTTTCTTTTTTTTTCAGTACCTCTCTTCCTCCCTCTCTCTCTCTCTCTCTCTCTCTCTCTCTCTCTCTCTCTCTCTCTCACTCTTATTCACTATTATCTAATACACGTTTCGAGCTCGCGCAATAATTCCGCCGCGATCTTCGTCGATTCTCCCTCACGCGCAAAGTTCCTCCAGTCTTTCCGCGCGTTCTTTCGATCGTCACCCATGCTCTTCCCCTTTCTTGGAAGACCTGCGCGTCGTTCCCGATTCTTAAAAGTGTATGCATGCCGCGTTTCTTTTTTTCCGCGCACCCGTGAAAATATAACATCTATCCGGATGTAATCGTATCTATCTTATCTCATTTCTCTATCCTGCCTATGTAAGATCCCTTCGAAACGTAAGAGATAAGGTGCACGACCATGAGAGAACTCTGGTATCTCGCGAACGCAAAAATGACCGTCCATCTCCTTCCTTTCTCCTCCCCGTACGGTAAAAGGCACAAAATCCACGCCCGCCCGAAATACACGCAATTTTGCGCGGAGAACCGTAAAGTAGAAACCAATACACAAGTATTCCAAAAAAGGCTCTTGCTGTCCCCTTATCTCGACAATGATCTCATTGTGATAAATATTCCTAGCAATTAAATATATATCTATATATACGTATGTATATTTATATGTATGTGTGTGTGTGTGTGTGTATGTATATATATATATATATATATATATATATATATATGTATAATCTATATATATATACACAGATTATTATGCCGTAAGAAAGATTACTAATTTCCTATTCGCGCATATTCGAATTGGAAATACGCGCACGTGTGTGATGTGTGAACATTCGACAAATGCATTCGAATGATTTCTTCCTCACATTTTCCTTCTTCTTTCCGAAATTTCCTCGAAGCTATACACGCGTGCGACTTTTGTACCATCCCCTCTCCTTTCTCCCTTCCCCTTTCTATCTCTCTCCTACACTATCGTGCAGTCACTTCGATAATATTTGTCCGGAAAGCTCTTCTCGTTATTACTCTTTTTTTTTCTTTCGTCGTGTACGATTTATAAACGACAGGACGTTCGCGCCTCTTGCATTGTTTTGGACTATCGTGTTCTTTTTTCTCACTTTTTGTTTTACATTTCTTTCTCTTTCTCCTTCCTTTTCCCTATCATACGCACCGTTGATTCGAAGAAAGAAGTCCGCTATCGGAGACATGAGAGACAACGCTGGTCGGACCGGCGGGGCCTTCCGAAAATACGACTTACGTTATCTCTTTTCGCGCCCTTCGCCCTCCACACTCCCGCCGTCTTCTCGTTTGACCGTTCGATGCGATTTATCGCTATTGCAAAAGAAAACCGGAAGGACAAGGAAATGTCCCGTATCTCTCATCCCGCGTTATATATCTATAATATATATATATACTTTCCACGATTATAAAATTTCACATCTCACTGCTTGATCAATAATAAATAAGACCTTCTTGAACCGTTTGCTGCCAAAGCCCCCTTGAATAACGGGTCGTGAATCCGCAGAATCAAATCACGCGATATACTATAAAAGTTGATGGTTAATATCTTATTCATCGTACACACACAGAAATTCGTCAAACACGAATCTACCGTGGCGCGCGCGTGCTATTCTCAATTCTTACTTCGATTAACATAGACGACCTCGCGTTTTTCTTTTTTTTTTTTCTTTTAAACACCATCATCATCATCATCACGTAGAAAGCAAGCTTCTAAAGCCGTATTTTGTTGAACACTCCTGTAGAACGTCGAGAAATGTCGCGCGTTTGGCTGACGACTTAAACTTCCCTATTTTTTTTTTTTTTTAACTTTTTCTGTTCTGCACTGTTTGTTTGCTTTTTTTCTCTTTTCTTCTTTGCGTTATTACTATCTCTTTGAAATTCCCCGCGAATGCGTAACACCCGAGACGCACTCGTGAACGATCAACGTGAGCTGCGTGAAATTATTTGCGTATTTATGCGCAATTATCACCCGTTGAATTATACACTTGCTCCGTATGAGAAGTGCGGCATACACCGCGTAATCCCGTGCGCCGTCCCGAAATTCTCTCGAATTCGTGTGACAAGCCAAAACATATGAAGGCATTATTCATGCACGCGTAAAACACAAAGCTTAGGAGTCTGCTCATCTCAAATCACGCGGACCCGCGCACGAAATATTATTACTCCGTTGAATCTCTCCTTTTTAATCCTCCTTTTTCTTCGCTACCCTCCCCCTTTCTAACTAAGTCACTCTCTCACTCGCTCTCACATACTATGATTCACTCCCGCTCTGTCTCTCTAGCTTTCTCATTCTTTTCTTTACGCCTCTCTGTCTTTTTTGTTGATTCCCCATCGTTCCCTATATGGAACGTAACGTACAATCTTGCTATTAACACAGTACGCGACATCAAAAAGAACATACACGCTCTCACGTCTGTCGGTTCGGAGAAAGAGAGAGAGAGAGAAAGAGAGAGAGAGAAAGAAAGAGAAAGAGAGAAGAGAGAGAGACAAATATTCAAATTATTTTCTACTATCCGCAACTCTGCACTCGTCTCGACCCGAGAACGTGACCGACGAGACAATGCGCGAGCTTTCTGTTTTTTTTTTTTTACCTATTTTCTTTTCTTTCGTCTTCTTTACTTTTAACGAGACAGAGGTAATCGGCTAACCCGATATTTTTTTTTTCTTTTTTACGCTACGTATAGTATATATTTTCTATTCCTCCGATCGGCCACGCCCGGGGCGTAGTGCAAATTCGCCCGGGAGCGATATTTAAAATAATCCTCCCGAGCGCGTCACAGTAGCGACTACCTCTCGTCGAAGACGCAAAACGTAAAATGGGCAGAGTTCACTCGTCGTAATACAACAAGTATTTGTTTAACATTAAATGCTATCATCCCGCAGCTAAGAGCAAGGTTCTGTATGAGTGCAAAGAATTCTTGTGTGTGTCTCTCTGTGTGTGTGTGTGTGTGTGTGTGTGTGTGTGTGTGTGTGTTGTGTGTATATGTGTGTGTGCGGTAAAGCGACGACCCATAGCTATCTTCTTCTTCGTTTAGCATGGTATTCGTTTTCGCGATCTTACAGCGTGCCATATATCGTCGTAGACACTCGAACCTTTCTCTACTGATCGCACTGCAGCTGGAGAAAGATAGCCATAGGCGGTTAGAGGGCTACAGGCAAAGTTTAGATATAGCAGCCCCTGGAAAAATTGATATTCACTGCTACAGTTTACGTAGCGACACGAGAATGTGCAAAAGTTTCGATTAAGTTTCGCGTGTTTGTGCTTTGATGATTGCCGATAAAAGTGTCCGCTAGATGCCAATCTGTGAGAGAGAAGTGACGATTTAAAAAATCTAAATATTGCATGTCATCCCTCTTCCCCGTGACGAGACACGAGTATAGAATGGGTGTGAGTAAGTGAATGGTGGTAAGTCGTACAAATGTAAGTGACGATCGTCGCAGTATAAGAGCAACTAATTTGATAAGATTCCTTAATAAAAAAAAATAATAATAATCGATGAGAGTCATCACGATCGTTTAATCATGACGAAACGATCGAGGTGATTGCCATCCTTATAGCTTACGATAGCGGCGTACGCGCGAACATTACGCACTAGTTGCACCTCATCAAATCGATCCATCGTTTTACGAAACAAGTAAAAAAGTGGATGCTGATTAAGTATCAGAAACGTACTAATATACTTAGCGCCGTGAATTAAATAATATGCTAAGATTAGCACAGGGCGCGCTTTTTCTCATTATCATATATATATATATATATATATATATATATATATATATATATATATATATATATATATATATATATATATATATGTGTGTGTGTATATGTATATATCTCTTTCGCTACTAAGGAAGCGTACACGTGTCGTTACACAATTTTAGGTGCAGAACGATACTTTCGTGATAGCTCATCGTATTATGCTGAATGCGTCGAAATAATCTTATCGTACGCACGATCTAATCGACAGAACGATCCTCGATGCCTTAGTCGTTCGTAAATTCTTCGAAAGTATTCTTCTGTGATCGGTTGACGAACGAGGGAAATCATATGTATGTCGCATCGTACACGTAAAAGCTACAACAGTTTTTCGTCGACCCTAGAATCTCCTATACGATGTTATGCCAAGAAACGGAAATGGGAATCTCGAGGCTTGAGGTTGCGGGGTCTGCTGCGTGTGGATCGGGGAATAAGACGGTTGCTGGAGGAGCGGGGAGTTCTGTTGATTTTGCAACGGCGACAGGGACTGGCCGGAGGAGTGGGAATGTAAGTTTTGCTGATGATGATGCGGATATGATAGCGCGTGATGACAGGGGGAGGATTGTGAATTTTGCACATTCGGCGGTGGAACGTTTAGATTATTCGTGATGTTACTAGGGATATTGAGGCTGTTGGGATTATTGGGGATGGTCAGGCTTTTCGGCATACTGAGCGCGTTCGGGAGATTCATATTCGTTTGCAAGCTAGGCGGTAGAGAGAGAGTAGACGTAAGATAATGTACGTTGAAAGATGGACGGGGGGGCTAGTAAAGCCTCATACCTTCTTCGAATTTGACGATGAGAGGGTCGACGGCCGGGCTCCCGATGAAACTGCCAGCTTCACTGCTGCCTCTACCTTGGTCTGATTCGGTACTACTGCCGTCATACTTTGTGTCATCTGTGCAACAAGAACAAAATGTAAAAACACGCACGAGAAGTGTTGTGTTACAAGAAATGATAATAAGATAAATAATAAAAAGAATGTGATAAAGAACATGAAATGAGCAAAGTTTTACCTTGACGGCTTAGCCATTCCTGATTTGGAGACTTTGTTGTTACTTCTGCCTTTACAGGGTTGATAGGATTATTGATAGTGCGTGCATTCTTATGCAAAAATGAACAATGCGGCTTCCTACATCCTCCAGGTTGCGTTTCCCAGTAGCATGGAATCGACTTGCGATTTTTCTAAAAGTAATAATGTTACGATTAGTCATTCTTCATAACGGTCCCAACAATTCAATTGAACCATATTGTTACAGCATGTGTAAGTTATTTTGTTTAAATCTCAATTGCATCATTAAATGCAATTAAACATTGTTAACAATTAGAACACATAATTGTATCATTCATTGTTTTACATTTGTTGCGATAACAAACTCTGCTAGAGAGAAATAAATACTGCGAGTTCACTCAAAGAAAATATTTACTTTTAGTTCCATATGTCTGAAGTTACAATGTTCATTGAGGCAACTGCCTTGCTGCCAAAATGTGCACATAGTTTCACAACCTAGAGCTGATGGTTCGTGTCTGAAGGGGCAAAAATCTCCCTGTAAAATGAAATTGTACATTACGAATACAAATGTCCAATTTAACTTGCTCACTTTAGATTTTCCGACTAAAACACATTCCCTTACATTAAACTGAACATTTATAATGATAAACCACAATGATCATATATGTAAGTATTTGCAGTACCAAGATATATCGTAAATACTGCAAGTAAAACTAATCAAACAGCTTCGTACGAGTTACCAAATGTTTTAAGATTACAGATATTGTTGCTTATTTTAACGAAAGCATTTGTCTACGAACTTATTAAATATCCATGCGAATTGATAAACATTATATATCTGCTTCTTACATAGTACAATGAAATATGTTGCAACATAATCGCACTACGAACGCGATTATAACAATAAGAAACGTAATTGTCACAGTAAGAGATCTCGTGCACGATCAATTCAATAAATAAAAAGTCGACTGCATGCCTGCATTCAATGATAACACGGATATTATGGTTTGCAAATTCTCGACAACATGATTCCAAAATGGCCGACCTAACCTCGGCGAAGCCTGCGAATAACGCGAGCAATATGGAACTATCATACTTCGCACCTTCGAGATAACCGAAATTGGCGAGCCACTCGATAAGAGCATGCTCGAAAATAGTTCCGATAGAACGCAAATGACACGCTTACCTTCTTACACGTGGAGTAATAGAAAAAGTAGCAGTCGGTATTCTTGTGGTTGTGCTCCATTTGTAGGAACTTGTAGAACGACGAGTGATCGTGCTCTTTGCTGCAAAATAAAAATTCAAACAACTTTTAGCGAAATAATATCGGTCGACGAGTCGGCCGAATCGTCGCGAACGTGTCGTCAGGCGATTCAACGTGGAACACACACATCACCATTTCGTGCGGAACATGGTTACGAATCAACGGCGCAAGATAGACCTCGCTTGACTCAACGCTCCTCGACAAACAGGCGCTCGACACGGAACGTTATGGCGAGATCGGGGCCGGGCACGCGTTCAAAATGACGGTTATTCGCGAGCAGCCGTGCGACGCGCCGACGACATTGAGGGAAACGCTACGATTCGTACCTTGCGTTTTTTCCACACGTTACTCGAGGCGTGCTGGAAAGTTTACTAACATTCAGCCGCGCGATCCCACGGTGACTCCTTTCCTACAACACGTCTGCTCTGCCGCTAGGTTCACACTTCGCGCACGCACGCACGCACGCGCAATTTGCCGATTTACGAACGTAAAATCGAATGTAAAACAGATCAGTTCCGATCAGTCGATCGCGACCATCAACGCCGGTACCTCGATCCGTTCGCTGCGCAATGTAAGTACGTTCTGTGGCTCCCCCCAATCACGTAACCTGCTTGCGACGCCGGAAATTGCTAATGTTCCACGAGGGCGCTCGTATCTAACAGGAAGTAAGAGGACAGAACAAAGGTTAGAGGTTAGCAGGTAGCAGAACGAAATTTAAAAGTCGACGGAGTAACGAGAACTTGAGGGAACAAACATAAAAAGTTTTGCATTTTTTTCCGACAATTTTCAGGCATTTCTTTGTAAAACTTTGTTCTGTATTTCCAGATACACTGTCATCGTCTATAAAATATCCTGTAAAGAAATATCCGGAAGAAAGGAACCGCTTTGCTATTTAAATACTATAGAGGCGATTGTGTATATCACTTGCGGCTTTGTAATATAACTTTATTGAGAAAGTGATATTCATTCTCTTTACATTGAAAAGATAAAATTACATTTTGGCCATCGATCCTTCCAATTCCACAAAGAAAAGGCTAAATATATTCGAATTCTTGTAATCTCGTCACCGAATTAACAATAGCGTAATTGTTATAATACAAGTTTCAGAAAACGAATGTATACATATATATTGCTAAGTTCTCAGTATCATGGCTTATCCATACCTCGATATCCATCAAATGCTCATCGCAATATTTCATATTAATTTTTACTGAAGTAAATTTATTGATGCGATAACAAAATATACACCTGTATGCACCCCACTGCGTTTTTTAAATGATAACAATTTGTAAGTAAAATTGTCGGCGTTGAATACATTACAGTATTCACAATATTACTTACGATACTTAAGTATGTAGTCGAAAGCACGTCTCACAACAGAAGCTATGAAGAAATAGCAAACACGACAAACTTACATTGACTCCACAAACGGCTTGGAAATTGCACAACCCACCCTTGGAATTCTTAGCATTTTGATATTGAAATGATGATTTTCAAATATGTACTATATACGCTAATATATAAAATAGGTTCATTTCGTAAATTATGGCTGCATCGTTTCAGATAAAGTATCACATGGCCACTGACATACGATATCAATTTACGAAATGGGACCGTCACTCACGCATAAATTGCATGATTGTAACCTCTCTCTTTTTATATATATTTATATATATGCAACATTTTTTTGGAACCTTACTAACTAGAGTAACTAGTATAAAGTTACATAATAATTATATATGGAATTAAACGGGCCTCGAAAAGTCTTGTCTGCTCTGATATATATATATATATATATATATATAATATGCTAAAGTTGAAAATATGTATAAATCCAAAACAGTACACGCGGCTAAAGTAAAGTTAACAATAACACATCAAAAAATCGAACAACAATTAATATAAGAATATAATCTAATCGGAATATGAGACACAAACGTCTAAAACTTAAGTGTACATTTTATATATATAACAAAAATTCTTAAACAACTATAAACTATAAACACACGCTCTAAATTGCGATATTCGATTATTTTATACAATCGTATTATTGGTTTATCACGTTCAACTTCCTAAAGTCTGTATTGTTGAAATATGTTATGCGCGTGCAATATAAATAAGAAAGTATTCATAAAGGTATATAAAGGAAGAAATCGAACTTTGTATCTCATTTAGAAACAATTCCATTCAATATATATCTAAGCAAATAATAGATATGAAACTCTTTCATATCTATTTATCGTATTAAATCTTTCATGTAAATACACAATAAAAAATGGAAGTTAACAAAATTTTTTTTTAATTTAAAATACACATCTAAATTATAACATCTATTTATCAAACATAATGTGTGTCTAAGAGACACCCACTATTATAGATACATACACATCTCAAAAACTAAATGTAAAGATTAAAAACTATATTAACATCGTTCTTATACGAAACAAAAACGTTTGAAACTAACATAAACATTTCAGAAAAGGAACCATAAAGAAAACTTTAGGAAGTTGATTTAAGCCAGACTTTGAAAATAGGAGATAGTATAGTTAAACCACAATAAAAATTATATCCTTGCAATATATAAAATGTCGTCAGGTTATATATAAATACGATATACATAAGCAAATCCTTCATTGCAAGTATGATATGTGTATTATAAAAATTTATCCCGTATCTAATAGTAACAAAAACTGCAACTTTAATCTTTCATTCTGTTCTTCTAGGTTTTATTATATGTTATGCAAGCTTCTGCCGTTGCGTTCACTAGTCAAATATTAATCGCGTAACTGTACCGTCGCCTACAATTGCAACATCATCGCCACGTAGAAATAAATTCTCACACAATGCATGTGTTACACGCGCAACTCTCATAATGACTCGTTAGAAATTATTTGCCAAGGGAACGCATCGTTCGCAGCCGCATACCTAAGTGAAAATGCGTATCTATGAAACATCATATCTCAGATGTATATTAAGAGCAGAAAATCTACGTTACGAAACAAATCCTAATTGCATCGTGTATTCGTATGCACTAAAAAAATACTTTCCATTTGTGTAGGATCGACCAGCAATCCGGCTGTAGAAACTAAATCTATCGAAATCAAACTCTAAGGAAGCTATATCGTCTTCAAAACCTGGATCATGAACTGAAAAGTCGTACACTCCGATGATCTATCAAGGGATCGTTCTTTGCCGTCTGTATTACAATTCCCTCCGTTAAAAATTCATTGTCGATTCGCCATTTTTTTAACGTTTATATAAATTATCCCGAGGACACTAGTGCGACTACTGTATAGACCAACATCTCCAAATTTTATACAGTCTTATTGGAACGTGTTCCGCACATCACCGTATTATTATTATTTAAAATTTTCATCGTCTGATGAATCGTTAAATTAGTCATAGAAAATTATGCTATACGATATCATGCGACACCACCGGATCAATTCCCATTTAGACAGTCTATGTCTATCAGTAGGCTCAACTATTATATTATTAAGTTACAATTATATGCTCTAATTCACATTGTGCTTCGCAACACACTCTTACGGATTAGTAACCTATAAGAATGATGCCAAAATATAGTCGATCGTGAAATCAACATATATTGCAATGTTCTGACTAGCGCACTTTGCTTAATCAGTATGCATACATACATACATATCCTTCTGATATCCTAGCACTAGACTGTGATCATTGTACAAACACAGGAAAATGTAAAAAGGATGTTTTCGACATACAGAGACACTCGCAATCCAGCTCTAAATAAATTCTTCTTCTGATTCTTAGTCTTATGAAGAATGTTCCAAGATATTCTAATTGCTTCGTTTCCAGAAGGATAAATATGTCATATGTCAAGCACGTATGTATATATGTAGATGTGTAACAAAATGTACGTGCACAATATATACAGTCGTACGCAACCTTCAGTCACGCGATTGCTATCCGTAAAACGGCAAACATGTCACACACTGTCACTCCTTAGGAATTCATACCATCAATTATCAATTTAACAGTGAAAGGAAATGCACACTAATATTGCAGTTTATTATCGCCTTGTACTCGATCGCAGTAAGAAAGTTGATATTCTCCATTAATATTTGCATACGTAAGTATGCGCGCTACACGATTCTTATCACTTTGTTTCAAGCAATAAAAGATCTAAACGGCAGTTACTAGCGTAATTACGGCAGACAAGAGTAATATGTCTCAAAGAACGACTATAGACTTCCTCGCGCAATGTTTGCGGAGAAAACTAAAATCGAATCTAATTCCTTCTTAAATCTTGTAAAGTTGAAACTTCGTAATATCAATATTTTCCCTTTTTTCTTTTATTCGAATAAGTGTTAAGTGAATGAATCTTTCATATGTTTTACGTAAGTTTATCCTAAGTTTATCAAAACAAACGTCTTCTCTCTCCTCATACAGGACATAGAAAAGACAACCGATTAAGATTTATTAGAACTGCAACACTTGGAGCAATCGAAACAACTGGTATGCTATCTCTTAATAGACCACGAAGCTCTATTACTACCTGCAGGACCGCTCTCCATCCTTTGATTTCGTAGCTCCATTATAGTTTCATGCAAAATTCTCTTTTCTTCCAAAAGGCCCGTGATATCGTTCTCCGCAGCGTTCAAGCGAGATCTTATTATGTCCGACTCCTCTTTTACGCGCATTAATTTCGCATTCTCTTCCGATAATCTTTCCAAAGCTCCCATACGGCGTCTCAGCTCTTCGTTGTCTAGTTTCAGTTGTCTGCTGGATTGTCTCAGTGTATTCAATTCCATCTCGCACTCTGTATTCTTAAGAGCATAATTCTTATCACCCGATAACGTCGTACTCGAGTCTCTTTCAGCCACCATAGTTACTAAAAAAGAAACGAAAGTCGTTATATAAACCAACTGCAAGTTATATGTAAAATTTATACAGAAACATACAAACATAACATATTCAATTCACTTTAATAGATGTAATAATTATAAAAATTTATGGTAGAGTATGTATGTGTATTTCACATTAATAATGCAGAGAGCAAGGATTGAAACCGACGTAAGAAAAATATTGTTCATGTACTGATACTACTCTAGCTTTATACAACATAATTGACATCCAACACCGATATGTATCAAATATTTTTAGCAATGCGTTTTGTAAAAATAAGAATACATAATATCGATATAGAATTGTCAGTGAAAATATTTCGGTGTTCAATCCCTGACAGAAAGAAAGAAATAGAGCTGAAATTTTGGTAAACGGCATACTAGATATAAGTCTATTTTAAGCACGTACTATAAATAATGCCGACTAGATGATGAGAACAGTGAATAATTTTGAAGATATTAACTTAAATGCAATATAATGCGAGTAATGGTATGATGTTATATGAAAAATTACATGTGCGTTGATGTAAAAAATATAACTATTGTTTTTAATTTCTCTTTAATTAAGATACAATAAGGTAATCGATATAACGAAAATAGAATGGTCAAATGATATTCATGTAGAATCGATAAGTTTCTTTTCACCCACTATATGTAAGATAATAATTCATGCTCGTTTAAATGTGCACACAATGTCTAATATATTCTATTTATATCAAATATATATATATATATATATATATATATATATATATATATATATATATATATATAATGTCGCTTTAAGCGGTGCAATAATCATAAGCAGCGAGATCTAGAGCTAGTCGTCTACGTGTGTTATATCAATGCTCACATTCGAAAGGCCGCCTGGGTGCACAGAACAGTTATGCAATATATAATATTAATTACTTTCCAACAGAAATCTGCCACTTGCGCAATATAAAAAACCTATGTATAATATGAGAGATTACAAAAATACATGTATATTTACAGGCGCAAGGACGATGTAACTAAGATCAATAAACCGGAAAAGGAAGATCAGTAGCTCGGTAATGAACTGCAAGTGGCAGAGAGAAAGAAAAAGAGAGAGAGAATGATCGCGACTCTCTTGAATTGCGTTACTTACCGACAGGTTCAATGTGAAACACACCACTCGTGTCCCGCGCTATCCTAAGCTTGGAAATATTCAAATCTATTGGGATCGGGCCTGGGGAAGTTATGTTATTTGGTGGACGATCTTCGTTTAAACGTAATGATATATTTTCTAAGTATATCTGAAATAAAATAACGTGTGCTTGCAATAAACTGAAATAATATATTCTCGTATAAAAAGGAGATTGCCATCGTGTATCCAAATTCGACAACCTTGTGAAAGAATATAATATATATATATATATATATATACATATAAATATTATACCTGCATAGGTATCGGCTTAGGTATGATCTCGTCTTCCACCAGATCCGCCAAACCCGTTACTGAACTCATCGACAGCGTCATTGTTACGTTAGCGACTTTCATCTCTAACTTGTCTTCGAATAAATTCATAACACTCTCTTTGTCATGCACATTGATGACGGACGTACAGGTGTCTTGCTCAGGCAATCTAGTGCGATCTTGAGGTGCTCGCTTACTACTGTCGCTCGTGTTTTGGCTAGCGCTCGAAAGTCTACGGGAATCCTCCTTATTTTTCAAATCATGATCCAAACGCAGTTTAACGCGTGATCTGCAGTCAGAATCTGATGGTAATTCTACCCAGCCTCGTGATCGCGAACTGAACTTGGTCTATCAAAAAACAAAATACGTAGACGTATTAAATTTACATAACATTCTTGAGAAAAAATACATAATGTGTATCTAACAAAATATACTTTTATACAGACTTTACATCACTGCTCAAAATTGTAACACTATATTGCGAAATTAGGTAACATGATTTATATGCTGAATGGATTATGAGAATTCTTATATACGTTAGATGTAAATTGCAAATACGTAAATTGGATATACGTTATAAATCAGTTTTAATTTAATAATATATTCAAAGACATTATTTCAATTCGTTAATTACATAAGAATCAATCCTTAATCTGTGTTAATATAAGAAACTTTAAATGCCAAGCCATTTTGCGTTAAGAGATTTAGCATGTGTCAAGTTGTAGAAAATATCATTCAGATGCAAAAGCGTATAAAGATGCACTTCTAGAGTTTAGAATAAAGCATTAATAATTTCATATACAATATATAAAGCAAATGAATCAATGCGTGTAATTACAATGTCTAACACACAATCTAGGTCCAGCATATTATTGTTCTCTTACAACAAATGCAAGCTTATCATAATTTTCAAAACAAACCAATGTCACATGCCATACAGACATTTTATTACCAATCCAATTAATGGAACTTTAAAAATAAATAAATATATATATATATATATATATATATATATATATATATATATATATATATATATATATATATATATATATTGGATGTCTTAACTTTATAATACACGAAAGCAAAATAAAAATCAAACTACAATCTGCAAACTGTAAGATTGTTCTAATTTAATAATTAAAATAGTAATTAAATATCTGACTAATTTTAAAATTATTTTATCCAAATTACAGAAATAAAGATAAGAAAACGCGTTCAATACAATTAAATATTAATCCAATTCAATATTTTGCTTTAATAAATTAAGCAATGTCACAAGGAATAGTTATCATGTAAATATACAAATTACTACTTGCATAAATATACATCATCTGGCTAGCTTCTCCATTATAAAAATTAACGTCCATCAATAAAATGCATTTATAGCGAGAGGAAGAGAATACATTTTATAGCAAATCAGAAATATCAGTATTTTATATTGATTTTAAAAAATTTCCATCAACAGAATGCCTAACAATAATATAATTTTGCTCAATAACAACGCATGCACATTTTCGATAATGTCTAAGATTAATAAGATGTATGAATGTTTTGCCAATACCTTTCTCTTGACCTGCCACAAGTGCCACATAAAAACATTCACAAGAGAAGGAGAGACGCGGGAGAGGCATGCAAAAAAAGTTAAGAGACAAAAATTGTATAAATATACATTTATAATATCAACTGGTTGTAGTGTAAAAAAACAATGAGCAAATTACTGCAAGACTACTCAAGTATTAGTTGCTTATGCACAAGTAACTCGCTATTCCAAATGTATACTCTAAATGTAAAAAGGTTTACTATGATTAATAAATCACAAAATATTCAATGCTTTCTTCTTTGGAACATAGTTGTGCGCGTAAAGAAGTAATTTTATTACAGTTCGAACTTAAACGTTATCAAATTATTTCAAATATAAGAAAGAGAAAATTTACTTTAAATATATAATTTAAATTACATCTGAAATGTACTTTGAATCCACATAGAGATATTGCCGAATTTAATTTTGTGGGCAGTATTATAATATCTTTGGTGTGTAGTAATAAGCTATATCATGTGAAAATAATTAAGACTCTTTAACATAAATCTCATAGTAAAGGAAGAGAATAAATTTGTTTATTGCAGCAGTACAGTTAATAATCAATTTTGTCCATCCAAAAAGAGAATAATTATAGTAATAATATAATATTATATATATATATGTATGTATATGTATATATATATATATATATATATATATATATATATATATATATAGCATAACGTAAATATATATATATATATATTTTTTTGCTTGTATGTAGCAGTTAACACACCAAATTCCTGACTCACCTGAAATTCGTCCCAAGGAATGGATGAACACTCATCATTATCAATGTTAGAAACCTGAATCTTAATAGCGGAAGAATAGCCACAAGACTGTTGTATAAATTCGACCTTTGACAGCTTAAACGTTGCCATGGAAACCTGCAAAGACAGAAGAGAAAATGTATAAGACTCTAAATCTACTCTAATAATCATGAAAAATTCGTTCATTATTTGTCACAATACTTACTAAATCCTTCCTCTTACACACACTGTCCATAGACTTTTCGCTTTGCGTATCTGGCGTTTCTTCTACCACTTCAGTAGCTTCTTCCACGGCTGTTATTCTAATCGTGTTATCGATGCCGAATACCGCATCTATCTTGCCTTGATCTTGCAGATTCACCAGGACATAATTTTCGCTATCCGAACTAACGTCGCTTCTCATAGACACTGTGTCGCTGCTACCATCTTCCGGGGAGGCCTTCAGAGCCGAGTCGATCGACGTCATTAGATTACTAAATCCCTTTTTCATGGACGAGAGACCGACGTTGAAATTATTTGGGATAAAAGGTGTATTGGAGGCCGAATCCGATTTACTGTGTTTGTGCGTAACTGTTTCTGCCGATTGTCGAAGCACGTTCTTTTCGTCGCTCGTGCCGCTGATATATTGCGGTCCGCAGGATTCGGGAATGCACCAGATCGCGTTTGCCGAGCCTTCGTGATCGCCTTTCTTCGTACCGTTTTGTTTGAAAGTAACAACCGGCTGAGTCGTTGGCGCGGAATGCGAATAATCCATCGAAAGCATCGATGACGCTTCGCTCTGAGGTGTCTCCACGTCGTTGCTTGTGTTCACTCTTTTAGCGCTAAAATCAACACGCGTGCTCACTTGGCTAGTGTGCCAAGCGACGGATGAACCGATAAAATCATCCGCTATGCTGGACGAGTCAGGGACAACGGATTCTAAATCGCCGCCGGAATTCTCTTTACCGGGTGTGTGAGACGGCATCACGAACGTCACTTCCACCTGCGGTATCAACGCACCTACGACCAATGATCCGCCGCTTTCAACCTTCAAAATCTTGTTCGAGTCCACAGCCAGGTAGGTGGCCATTTCGGACACTATTTCCGACAATCTGAGCAAAAACAAATACTGATAGTGATTTATCTGCACGCTAACTAAATTGCTTATGTATGCAAGCCCGTGAATGTCAGCAGCCGAAGGTTTTTCCGTGACCGATTCAGTGGTGAAGTGACACCATAATGTTAGAGGAAACGCGTCCAGAAACGGTACAGGCCGATTCTGACCGACGGCACGTGCTCCAAAAAAGTCACCCCATACAGGTTCCAAGTTGCAGCACCATACGTCTTTTGCCTCTGTCCACAAAAGTTCTCGGTTCAATTGACGAATCAGCTCGTTCACGGAATTGCTGCTGAAATTGGGCGGTATTTGTCTGATATTATCAGTACCTGTAATCAAGATATATAAGGATAAAAAAATTGATTAGATACAGATATATTGCGTACTGTTTACGAAATCATGTACCTCCGCAGTGTGCCAGAAATTTTTCTGTCACCACATGAAAATCTTTTGATTTACTGGGAAACTCAGCGCCGAAAAACATTTGTCCCATCTGAAATGCATTCAGACATTGCGCCAAGTCCGCCCTGGAAGATCTTTCTGTCGATCGAACGTTCGTTATGGATGCTCTGGAGGTTTGAATATGCAGAGATTTTGGTCTGTCTTTTTGGTTCGGATAATCTTGCTGGCTTTCAAAAATTATCTAAAATTGCATAGCACCAATGTTACTAAGGTAAAGGCACGATAATATGCAAAGTAAATTACTAATATGTAAAGTTATAATTAAGTATGTGCGCCATAATACATATTAACTTACTCTTGGTAATATAGCCTCTATCTTTACATCGAAATACATTAAACGTGCGGAACTGTGTGATAACTGTTTGTTCTTCCCTATAAGAGAATGATGAAGATTTAATGCGAAAGAATTAAACCAAAGGCACGAACAGATGTCGAAGTTCACTTGAATAGGATTAAGTTGTACGTAAAATTTCGGCGGTGGCACTGAAAAATTATACAACGTTATTTAATAATAATCATAAAAAATAGACATGCTTGTATAGACATCAACTTACATGGAAAAGTTATGTCCCCAGGATAATAGTAATAAGTAAATTCAGCGTGAAGTATCGTTACGTCTTCTGGAAGACAGAATCTATCGCGATCGCCTAAACAAAAATTTTATTTAAATAGATACAACTAATCTTTTTATATAAATAAAGAAAAAATCTGGTTCCTAAACAACAGAAGTGGTATTTCCATCTATCAACGAATTTGATCTCACGCATGCGGTAGCAATTTTTTGTATTACAATACAACTATTTGAAACATTAAGATGCATTTATTTGACACATGGAAATTTCTATGAAAAGAAAATCTAGTTATAATGCATGTGATATGTAATATCAATATTGTTTTAGATAAATCACTGCAATGATTTAGTACAGTGACGATGTAGGAGAGGCACTATATATTAAGAGACTCTTCTGCAGATCAATGCTTAAATTTAAAATAACAAGAAATCGCGCGGCGCGCGCGGGACAAATGGAATAAATAAAAGAAAAAACGATAAAAATAATTTTAAACTAAATATTACACTAGGATTTTAAGTGCAATATTATATTAACACAAGCACAGATTACAGCTACTAATCTATTGTACCTGGTGTATGCTTCTTCCTTGTTTGAGCTGTGCAATTATCAAATAAAATAATTATTGATAAACTTGATAAGAAACGTAACATATATCATTAAACAGTAAGCTCGATAAATATTTAAACGTTTATATCATATGTAAAGTATATAATACCTGTGATGAATTCTTTAGGTATCGGATTACGCGACGTGGTTGTAACTTTGTACAAAGTAAAATCGTCGATCCTAATGATAATGCACGTCGTCATAAGTTTCGCAAGCTGCTCTAAAACATAATTCTTCACTGGGTTACCACTGGGATGTTGCGGCTTCTTCTGCTCGGACGGAGCTACACTCGTATTCTGCGATTGAATACTCTTCTCCAGATTTTCTCCAGAGCCTTTCGTACTCCCTGTACCAAATAAAATAATTCATCAATTTTCATATCAGTCTCCTTGTACATAATTTCGTATGAACAGTTCATTGGTATACACAAACCTATGACATTTCCTTGACTTCTTGTCAGCGGAGAGTGTTGCGTTCTACCGGAATCAATGAGATCCATAAACTGACTTCGAAACGAACTCAATGATTGCTGCAACCACTGACTGTGAGGTGTAGCGTTCTCTTTATATTTGGCCCAATGTTTTCTATCAGCCATTGCCAAATGATACGGATAATAATCAATTTGAAATTTGACTAATGAAATTTGCAGCGCGCCACCCTCCTTAAGATCAGGATATAAAGATCTGCCTCCTATTTTGATAAGATATAAATATTACATAAAGTATATAATAGTTAAATTTTTATTGTTAATCTATATAATCACGAACAAGTATAAATTTTCTTCAAACTTACCACCGGCGTCATCACACAAATGGAGATCAATACGTTGAGAAAGAAAATGGTACGATGTTTCAACAACATCATATCTCGTAAATATCTTCGATATCGCTGTATTGCATTGAGTCTTCGTTCTACTTTGTTGAGATATCTGGGCTTGATATTCTGGCAGAACCTTAAATTATAGGAAAAATAAATTAATAAAATATTATAGTTTATATAATATATAATAAGTCAAACAAACCTCTAATTTTCTTGCGGCTTTTGTTTTCCGTTCTAGAATGGTAGCTTTCTCAATAAGACCACCTAAAGAATCGATGAAATGGAGTGCAGCTTTTAATTGTGAGTCTGTCAACACCCACAAAAGATCATCTAAAATGATTACTAGTCTGGAGCCCATGACAAAGCAATCTGCAAGAAACACATAATACAATAATGGTGCATAATGTATACATATTCACAACATTTAAGATTACTACAAACCTGATATTCTTTTCTTTATAGTAATTCGACATCTAGCTTGGTTTGTAAGCAACCGAAGTGGTGTCAGATTTTTGTCTTTAGTACTTTGGGCCTCTATTCTAAGAGTTTGCCATTCTAACTCTTTAAAAATAAGCAATTGTCCTCGATCAGGATCCTTTACTCTAGTAGTTCTGAGATCACATCGCTGCCATGTTGCTGACTTGGATTCTACCATAATTCGATTCATCTAAATAATGCAATATAAGTTAATACATAGAAAATAAAACTTACTTAGATTTATTCTACTATTTTATAAGATCGTATATATACTTTGTTATATATTCTATGTATACTAGCATTAACTTCATACCTGGACTGAGGCAATGAATGCAGGACTTTTAAATGTAACCAATACAGTATTAACAGCAACTGTTATTCCATCAATTACTTTATGTATAAAAGAATATTTTGCAGGACCTGCATATGATGATATACCCTGCGGGGAAGACATACTTCTTAAATCTTCACATGTTTCTACATCTATATGAACCTCATCCAAACTCTGTAAACAAAATATTATAATTATATTATTTATACAAATGAGATGAATAAGCTTAGTGTATAGATAAAAATCCAATATAACTTTATATGGATATAAAAATCTTGTTTACCAAAAAAATAGGAACACTTTTTAGTTTGGTCCATTGTATACGAAATGAAACTTTATTGCACCAAGCATTAGTTAGTCTTAACCATGATGGCAGCTCTAGTAAATCTGTAAGGACTATTTCATCGAGTTCTAAGTTTGTCAGTTCTCCTTCACCCTTGAATGTGCTCAGATTTATTTTGTCAGCTGATAGATTCTTGGTGAACCTATAATTTTTATAGAATGAAAGTTCAACATGCATCCAATCATATATCTTTAGTTGCAAGAAGATAAAGCAAATCAATTTTCCATTAATTGTATATTGTTTAGTTAATATAAATAGTGATTAGCATGATAAATAAATTTCTACATAAAGAAATATATTATCTAGTTAACACAAATTATATATAACTATTGTTAATTCAGCAAATTTTCAAAGATGACTTTCACCAACGAGTAAAAGCAAAATAAAACCATCTATCAGTGAAGTATGACAAGTGCCTCAATTATAAGAAAGGAGAGAGTACTTTCTCTTCCACAGCTGGTACTGTAAATGCACTTGATAAATGATTCACGTCAAACAGACGGAAAATACACGATGTTGGTACTAAGATAAGGCTAACATTTAAAAGATAAGGAGATCAAAAGAAATGCAGAGCATGACGTGTGGCTCGCTTATGCAAAAAGGGTGGGTGCATTTTTTTCCGGAGTATCACTAAACCGCGAAACCATACGTCTAAATTAATTAATCGTGGTCACGCGGACATACCTCGACAAGTGTTTCAGCAACTGGTTTTTGATGATTGAGACCATCTTTTGATTGCTGCAGCGATCTTAATTCTTGCGGCGACTAATACGTCTCAGCATGGTTAGTTTGACACCACATATTTACGATCCACAGAGATTTCTACTTATGTGTGCGTCCACGAATGAAACGATCCCTCCCCACCTTCTCAGCGCGGAATTTCTTCCACGAATTGTGCCGCGAAGTTGCTTATATTGTCGTGCGGAGCGATTCACGCATGCGCGCGTGTGGAATCGGCTATTGATGGTATACCGGGTGTCGACGTAAGGTTATGTTTTCGTCTCGATTACACGCTACTGTATCGATGCTTCTAGGTACTGGCTTTGATTCATTCGTTTACACTATGAACTAGATGATAATCGAGAAAGTAAAACGAATTAATGAGTTAAATACATCTTACAATGCGATGCAGTGTCAATAAGAACTGAAATCGGTCACAAATTATTCAGACATTCTCTCGAAGTGACGTTGCTGAGTATCGAATGCGACTCTACTTGTCATAATGGCTGCTGCCGCGGCAATTAAAAATAAGTTTACTTTTTAATGTGATTTTGTCACAAATAATATAGAATTTTTTACAAATAAAGCTGCTACAGATATATAGAAAAATTCCTTTTTAATATATATAATTGAATATTCTGTATACGATAATATAAAAATTCCAAGGTCTGTTCTTTACTACGACCTCGACTTTCGATACATACGGTATAGTAGCGACTCATAGCGGACTTCTAAACTATTAAAAGAACATGCACGTGGTAACTTAATGAAAAGCGTACGAATTTTTGTTCATACTGTTTATTACGTTGATTAATTAAATTTACAAATTATTTAGATAATTCAAGAAAAATAGTACATTACATTACAACAGTAAGTATATTTTCGTCAATTATCGTTTAAGATTTTTTTATATTTTTTCAAAGTTCGTAGATTCTCTTTTTCTGATGTATATAGGTTATTTGACAAAAGGTGTAGAATAATATACATTTTTATTTATAACTTATAGAGGTAGTTTTATTTAATCGATCAAATATTTAAGTTTATATAATTGCAAAAATTATTTAATAAACAGTCTTAAATCTTTTCGATCCGCGACATTTTCTGAGTAATTTCAAATATGTGTTGTTACGTATATGTACATATGTGTGTGTAAAAAAATAACCAATGCTAATACAAAATAATCAATGTCGGTATCAATGTTATTCAGTTCTTTTTTATATCCTCATTCGATGCACTGAGAATGATGTATTTATTGCAGACATAATGGCAAAATCACGAGCTACCAATAAACCTCCACGGAAGCAGGGCTTTAATCGTTCAGGACATAGTATGAATCCTGAGCGCCCCACAGAAGGACTGAAAGGTGTTGCTAAAGTACGAACCAAAGCAACTATAAAAAGGCTGCAAATGTATCGCAATCAAAAGCCAAAACGTAATCGTGTTGGGAAAATCATTAGTCCTGCACCGTTTCAAGGTTGGCATAGCTCTGGAACCATGTCACGTGTGGAGCCATCTCAAAGATGGTTTGGTAACTCAAGAGTCATTTCACAGAATGCTTTACAGAAGTTCCAGGATGAATTAGGCACAGCTATGAAGGATCCCTATAAAGTCGTCATGAAACCTACTCAATTGCCTGTAACTCTGCTTCAACAGAAGGCAGCGAATGCCAGAGTACATCTATTAGATACAGAGAGTTTTGAGAGTGTCTTTGGCCCAAAGAAGGTCAGGAAGAAGCCGAATTTAGCGATAACTTCGTACGACGAGCTGCAAAAATTAGCTGAGGAGAAAGAAGACATTTACAGCAAGGACAAAGACACCAAAGATCACGATCTTATCCGCGAGGACACGGGCGTGAAGGATGCTCAGAGGGACTGGGTGATGGCAGCAGGGCAAAGCAAGAGGATCTGGAACGAACTGTACAAAGTCATCGACTCCTCCGACGTTGTCCTACAGATATTAGACGCTAGGGACCCGTTAGGCACTAGATCTCCGCCCGTGGAGAAGTACCTGAAGACAGAGAAACCGCACAAGCACCTTATATTCATTTTAAATAAAGTGGACCTGGTGCCAACGTGGGTCACACAGAGATGGGTGGCTATTCTAAGCAAAGAATACCCAACTGTCGCTTTTCACGCTTCCCTGACGCATCCCTTCGGTAAGGGCTCCCTGATCAATCTGCTGAGACAATTCGCCAAGTTGCATGTCGACAAGAACCAGATCAGCGTAGGTTTTATAGGATATCCCAATACAGGAAAGAGCTCAATCATAAACACCCTGCGTTCGAAAAAGGTTTGCAAAGTAGCGCCTATCGCTGGTGAGACGAAAGTATGGCAATACATAACTCTGATGCGCCGTATCTATCTGATAGACTGTCCCGGCGTCGTTTATCCGTCAGCAGAAACTGACACAGAAAAGGTACTGAAGGGAGTTGTGAGAGTGGAACTTGTTCAGGACCCGGAAGACTATGTATCGTCCGTTTTAGAGAGAGTAAAATCAGAGTACATACGTAAAACATATAAGATCGAAGAATGGGAGGATCATATTGATTTTTTGGAGAAGTTAGCGCGTCGAAGTGGTAAGCTCTTGAAAAAGGGAGAACCTGACATCACGATCGCAGCGCGTATGGTGTTGAACGACTGGCAACGCGGTAAATTACCATTTTACGTTCCACCGGTAAATTTCGTAGAACCGTTATCTCAACAGCAAGTAATTAACAATAAAAGAGCAGTCGCACAAGACGATACAACAAAATCCATTGATAACGGGGAGATAAAAGAAACTGATGATTTATCTCCGCAAGAGCCAGTAAATAATCAAATAACAGTAACACAAAACTTTAAAAAAATTCGCGTTGGTTTACTGTATTTCGGTGACGATGTCAAGAATGATCTCTACGCAAATGGAGATAAGTCTTTCGATATAGAAAATGAAAGTGGTACAGAGAGTGAATCGGAATCAGCAGATGAATCGGAAGTGGATAGATCTTCTACGACAAACGACAAAACTAACGCAGATTTACAAGAATCGAATAATTTAAATAATCTAGAAGATAGAAAATGTCATGACGCTAACGATGAAACTAACGATGATGACAATGTTGAAATGGACAACGAGAACATAGAGGAAAAAACGTTAAGTACGGAAAAAGACGATGAGTATTCTGAAACGGAGATTTGTTTGCCTATCGAACAAGATAATCTGAAACAGAGTGTGTTCGATGTCGTGGACAAAGATAATTCCAGTGACAGCGAAATGTTTACTACCAAGGCGACTTCCAGCGGCACGTTCGTCGTCTCATCACTACGCTCTGCGAAAGCAGCGAGAACGGAGAAAAAATTAACGAGCAAACAACGAAGAGCTATTGAACGTGCCGATAAGAGGAAAAAAGTAGGAAGCAATTTCTACGAAGTCATGAATGTGAAAAACAGAAATAGAAATAGGAAAATTCCCAAGATCAAGAGGAAATAATGAGTTTTCTCGTTAAAAGATGACTCAGCGTTTATAGAGTATAAGAATATGTATATAAGTGCATCGAATATTTGTTCGTAACATATGATAAAAAAGAATACATATTTTTTTCTTTTTATATTTATTGAATCCATAAAACCTTTCTATCTTTTTCCATGTAGCTTATTGTTGAACTTTTTTAATGAGTTGTATATACGATCTAATGAAGAAACAATATGTATATATGTAGATAACATGTTATCATCAATGATAATGTGCACAACAATGCACGCGTCACTTCATATATCAAATACATAATGCGCGTTTGATACATTAGAAAAAAATTATCTATATATCTGATCCTAGATCCAATTGTATTTAACGAATCGCAACACGGTTTTACGTAGCCGTAGAGCCGACGCCTGATTGCCTTGATACTCAAGCATGACATCATGAATCTTATCGTAATTGAACTCAGTTTCCTGCGTGTCCAGTGTGAGAACTTTGAGCATGAAGCATATGTGCATGAATTCGAGCTTAGCGTCACTCAGTAGCTTGGCGTCGAATTCCTTCCTTGAGTACGGCTGTGTGTCGCAATCCATACGTTCTAACACGCTTATCATTGTCTCGTGATAGAGATCTATCAGCTCTTCGATATGATTTTCTTGCACGTCCTCGGTCGTACTGGAGATCAGATAAAAAACCATCTCGCGGATCGGATTAAGGAACAAATAGTTCTGGAAGTCTACGAACTTGATGTCATCCACACGACCTTCCTCGTCCTTGTGAAACATGATGTTGTTCACCCAAAAGTCCGAGTGAATGATAGTTGACCATGGCTCGTCGGGCACGGCAGTAAAGAATTCTTTCGCACCGTCTTCCACGCCTAAGACCACTCTGCATCGATCGAGATACGGACGTATATCCGGATCGCTCTCTATCCTGTCCAGTAGCTGTGTATGTATCTCTTTGAATTCGTCGAATTTAAAGTCCACACACTTGGCGCGTTTTTTCAACACCTCGAAGTACTCCGGTTTCTTTTCCTTGACCGCCATACCCAGTGCGTGGAACCTCGCCAATGTGCGTATCGCAAGTCTCGAGTGCTCAAGATCGTAGCCTGTTCGCATAAAAAGAAACAACATGAACGAAAAATTTTCTTATGCATGTGCGACATATACTGCACAGTAATATTAACTTCTTTAATCACGCGAATCACACGTACTTGAGGCTCTTTAGATAAATAGCGAGAATTCAAGCACGTAATGTAATCTTAGCGATTTCACGCGAAACGTTCTTTTCACGGTTGTAAACATATAAAATTTATGACTCGTATCTTGTGTCGACAGAGAGAGAGAGAGAGAGAGAGAGAGAGAGAGAGAGAGAGAGAGAGAGAGAGAGAGA